TGGTTTGCCAGCTAGGTGGGTTGGATTGTGTTCTGAGTGGCCAAGCTTAAGATTTGGGTCCTGGCTTGAGTTTTTGGTTTGTGTTCGGAGTGCTTGGCTCATAATCTGGAAAGTGTTTGGAATAGCCAGAATCATGTTATGGTTTGCCTTTGGTGTGCATAGGAATTGTATTGAGTTGTGTTTGGATTGCTTGGCTTGTGTTTTGGGCTGTGCTCCGAATGCTCGGTTTGTGTTTTGAATTGTGTTTGAATTGCTTGGCTCATATTCTAGATTGTTTAGCATGCTGAGCTCATTTCTTGTATGCCCGGATTTGTGTGTCATGGTCACTATTCACAAACTGACCATGGAAGCACCTACATGGCTGCTTCCATGTTCTGCTTCCATGCTCCCTGAACTCTGACCTTGATGTTCTGACCATGTGACATCCGACAATATATCAAATTATCAAATCATTTTGTGATAATTATAAGTGTTATTATCAGGTAATGGTTGGGTCTGCTCAAGTTGAAGATTTTTAATCGCAGTAATGTTCAGCAGCTGTTGAAAGAGGTCCTCTGAGAACCAGGAAGCTTCCATGAGTAGTAAATTCAGCAGCTGGTTTTTAACCCCTGGTGCTTACATGCTGATCTCTCCTATAATCACAATCCAGTTTTCATTTATTCCCATAAACTTTGTACTAAATATTAGTTCCTACAACCACTTGTGGTGAATAATGCCATATTTAACACCCTTTAGTTTGAGAACCTCTCCCATCCAACCCCACTAGGCTCTTGCACTGCAAAGATAATATATGCACTCTAAAGGTGAAACAAAAGATGTTATTAGTGTCAGAAGTTTCAAGGGACAATTTGAATTTACTATGATGCAAATTATTCAGGATATCAGCCAGTATCCATTTATGGCATTGTCTGTTTGTATAGGCTTCCATTTATTTAAGACCTTTTCTTTTGATCTCTTCTTCTCTACGTTGACATTGTTAAACGGTTTCATAACTTTAAAAAACATTTATAAGATCAGGCCTCAGTCTGCTCTGTTTTGAGGTGAAGAATCCCAGGCTATTCAGTCACCCTATGTGTATTTGTTCCTTCTAGTGAAGGATAACACAATATGCTTGTCAGTTTTCCGCAGCAAAACTGTTATGCACTACTCACTGCAGGAACACTATTAAAAGCCCACAGAGTAACAAGTACCATGGGTCACCTAATTTATTTAAATAGTGGCGATCTGAATCATTGTTTTGAAATTTTAGTGTACTTTATTACTGCTGTGATTCATTGGATGATAGCTGATCGACAGATGCAGTCAACGTTTATAGAATAGTTACAGCAGAAAAGGAAGCCGTTCTGTCCATCATGTCTACTGCCAACTTCCTGCAAATAGTGCCTGCATCAGTTAGATGCAAAGATTTTTTTTCTCAAATTGATCAATGACCTCATAACGAGACGACATATTGATATTACCCTAATACAAGATGGCGGAAAGGTAAATCGTTCCATTTGGAGCTCCACTCTGCTCACCAGCTCACCAGCTCCCCTTCCTTTCTTTTCTCTTCTTCTTCTCTCTCCTCTCTCTAGTAATTCTATCTGTCCCTCACCCCTGCCCTTTTAACTACCTACTTAAGGAGTCAAGGAGGAGTCAGGTCGCGAACAGGAACCTCGTGGCGGAAGCTGAACATGCAGGTTGTGTCCAGCAGCAACAGCGGATTGAGCGTGGGCTGGAGAGATGTCAGCAATGAGAGCAGGATGGTGAGGGGGCAGCAGCAGTCGGTGGTGAGAGTGGGGCTGGTGAGGGGCAGCAGTCGGTGGTGAGAGTGGGGCCGGTGAGGGGACAGCAGTCGGTGGTGAGAGCAGGGTCGGTGGGGGGACAGCAGTCGGCGATGAGAGTGGAGCCAGTGAGGGGGCAGCAGTCGGCGGTGACAGCGGGATGGTGAGGGGGCAGCAGTCGGCGGTGAGAGTGGGGCCGGTGAGGGGACAGTGGGCGGTGAGAGCGGGATGATGAGGGGGCAGATGGGCTGTGAGAACGGGGCCGGTGAGGGG